ATTATTACGTTCAAATTTTCATTTTTCGTTAATCCGTTGATGAGATATTGCTCCTCAAAGTTAGGTGGTTTTTGGAGATAGTTATAGTGTGTAAATGTGTTATACCTCGTCAGTAGATACCGCAGCTATCAGGATTTTTATGTCCCAGGGCAAAATATATCACACTTTTCAAATCAGTTCATAAAGTACTTAGAGCACCTAAATGTATTTTATTATGCCCATCTTTTAGGGAGTCATGAAGTTCACCCCACGAAGGTGATTGCGGCACTGGTCAGTGGTCGTAATAATTATTATCAATTATAAAGACCAGAAGTTACAAGTAATAAATTCGATATCATTCGACCCAAGATATAGCGGTGATAATCTTTGTACCTGACAGCCGATAATACCTACATACAATAACAAACGATCATATTATTATTGGTCTGCTTCTGTTTGTAGCTTCGATCACAATTTAATCTCTATTCTATGCTACGACACACCATAGACTAACATACGGAAATACAGAATTATTATTTATTTTAGTCCATAAAAGTTAATGTTGTCCATGGTTTATCATTATAACTGTCTATCATATACAGAAAATACAGTGTTACCAACATGTGTATTTACAAAATAAATAGTAACAGTAACTTGCTGTTTATTTATGTCACAAATAAAATCCCGTTTTTGTTACTCTAGTAGACTGCCTGTACTACAGTTGCAACAACTGTTAACTGTTTTAAATCGCTGCTGTAGTAGTGTACTAGTGTACAGTAATTTATTGTCTGTAGTTGTCTGTTACTCGTTACTGACTATTATAATTTATAGCATGGTGCATACTGCATAAATATACAATATATGATAGAATAACCATATTTATTAATGGACCATAATGGCATAATATTAACAATAAATTAACTTAATAGATAACTTAATTTTTTTTTTATACATATAATATACATATAACTGTGTATAGCTTTGGTAGATTTAACTAATACAAAATAATGTGTTAATTATTATTATAGATTTAATATATCTATTTTATGCTGTTTACCTTTTGGATACTTTGAACATGTAAATGCCTATTAGGATTTAAGTTTTTTAGTGATAATTTTTTTTTTTTTTTATGTAAAAAAAAAAATTATTTCAATGTCGTGAATAGGGTTTGAGACCATTGGCGCAACTAGAGGGTGCAAACGGGTCTTTAGTACCTCTTGTTTTTTTAGATTTAACTATCATTATTAAAGTGAAATACCCCCAATTTAATGTTTTTAAAATATGAAATATTATAGCACCCCACGTTTTAAATTTTTTAATGTATATTTGATATTATGTTTATTTGATACTTTAATATGATGCAAGTGATAACCACTAACAAAAACTAGGGAAAGAATAACCATTTTTTAGATTGCTTAATTTTGATTATTTAAATGTTTTTTTAAGCGTTTGATTTGATGATTTTAGGTTCTGTTTAGCCCTGAACCCTGTTCACGGCAAAATTCCTCACATATTATACTGATATTATTATGAACCATTAAACAATTTTACCTTAATAAGCCTAGGACTATGAAAAACCTATTTCAAAATGATGATACAGTTTAATCTAAATGTTCGTTTTGCAGTTAATATGCAAAATATGAGTAAAGATAAAACGTGTATTCAAAAAATTAAAACAAACTTTTCAATCACCCCAGACTTAAAAAGCAAAATTTAAAAATGGTGTTAATAATATTCTAACTTGAATTTAGTACTAATTATTATTTGGTGACAACACCAATCATTGACAGAAATAATTTAGTATTTATCATTATGACATTATACAATGTAGCACAGTAGACTAATGTTTTTGGATGTTTAGATTATTATATCTCTTTTGTTAAAGGGCTTGTCCGTAAAAAAAAAAAAAAAATGTTAAAATAAAAAATAAAAATAAAATTATTATTAATCACATAGCCAGCTAAAAATTCTTAATTTGATTTAGGACATAATCTACATATTAAACACAAAATAAATATCTATATCTATGTATATTATCTTTTAAGTTGTAATGATTGATGTTGTCACCTAATTTAAATTATTTATAAACTACCATACAAATTATAAAGCTTTAACATTAGCACAATTTTTAGTTTTCAATACATTATTTTTTTTTTTCATTCCGAAAATCAGTTAAATGATAACTGATGTCCCTCTCCACTTATATTTATCTTCAACTTCCAGTATGTTCCTATTCTGGTATCTTCAATCACTTGCTTCAGAAATGGAGTTCTAGGCCTTCCTTTTCCAGGTTTCCTCCTGATTACGTGTCTGATCCATGCTTTTCTTCTCAATCTTAGCGTACTCTGTATTGAATTTTTGATTCTCCTGAATACCTCAACATTTTTTTTATCTTTTCTGTCTATTGAATTTTCAGCGTTTTCCAACATCATACTTTAAAAGCTTTTATTTTGGCTTTCTCAGTCTTCAGTAGTGTCCCAATCTCTGCTCCATATAGATCTACATTCCACACAAAGCCTTTTATAAGTGATTTTCTGCTGTCCCAACTTATTCTATTTGAGGTAAAAAGATTAATTTTTTTATAGTAGGCCTGTTTGGCATGCGCTATTCTACATACTGTATATGTACGACTTTTCTCATCGCTTGTGATTGAATAGGTATGTGAAGTTTAAGTGTTCTTTAAGCGTGTCGTTAATTTCTTCGAACATGTTAGTTATGTCTTTTTCACTTTCTGCAATTACAACAACATCATCTTTTCAATACATATCATTGGTAATGTGTAGTTATAGTCCAACTAGATTTTTTCTACTTCTTCCCAATAATCCTGATTATTTAAAATATTTGTATGTCAATATATTAATTTAATAATATTACAGTTAAAGATATTAATACTCACTTAATTTATTTTATAGTCTGTTGAAATATTTAAAATATTTAAAATATTTAATTTTGAATATGTATAATATTGATTTTCCTGATTTACATATTTCATTGTGAAATCTACTATCAGACAACATTTTAAAGACCCAGTTAGTGCTTCAAATCATCGGTCTTAATAGACTATCAATATGCCACATTTAAATGTGCAAGTAAAATACAAAAAAAACTCTCAGAAACATCTTAGATGGTTGTAACTATAATTACCATAGTAATATTCCATTTTGTATTTACTAAGTACCAGTGTTTCATTGGTTAGGTAGACATTTGAACAAAAATTGTATATGTATAAATGATTGAACTGAAATCAAAATGTTTTAAGTTAATGAGATATATTGTTTTATTAATTTTAATTTTTGAAACTACCAACTAGTAAAACTTACCAATAGGTACATTGTATAAATTGAATTGCAAATTATCCAATTCACGTGCGATTAACCAATTTAGGTACTTAAATGTTTGATTAAATTACTAAATAAAATACAAAAAGTGGTAAATATTATAATTTAAGTATACATATAAAGAACTAATAATATTATAAATTCACCATTAAAATTTAAACACTTAAAATTGTTAAGTATTAACAAATAAAAAACTTTATTAAATATTAGGTAATACCTACTTATTACCGACTCACGATTCAAATATTGTTGTTATGACTTATCAGTTATCTTATAAAATTATAACCTAAATTATAACCGTTTATTCACTCAACGTATTGTTGGTATGTGATTAACGTTAACCAGGTTAGCCAGGTTTACTTCCATATCATGTAACCATGGAACCAGACTTTCATCGTCCACAGCGAACGAAACAAATAACAGCTGATCAAAATTAGTTTTACCCACGATTTCACATAATCGCAAATCAGCCTAATAAACCATATCGTAGTACCCGTATTGTTCTGTATTCTTATCCGTAGGCCGTTATGGCGTACTCCATAGGTATGGAGGGTGTTCGAGGGTTTTACGGGGGGTATACGACGTGAGTAGGTATGCCACCACGAGTGACACTAATGGCCGATTACTTAAAATATGACATCATGACAATAAGTTAATTGTAGCGAGTAGGTACAATGAATATCAGTTATCACTATTGTATACATATATCTTGGGTTGGAATGATATCAAATTTATTACTTTTAACTTCTGGTCTTTATATTAGATAAGTATTATTATGAACAGTATTATTATCACATTCAGTGGGGCGAACTACATGACACCCAGTTAAATGGGTATTATAAAATACATTTAGGGGCACAACTTAAGCTTACTGTACCCACAACTTGAGTTGATTTGAAAAGTGTGATATCTTTTGCCCCGGGACATAAAAATCCTGATAGGTTAGGTATCTACTGACGAGGTATAACACATTTACACACTATAACTATCTCCAAAAACCACCTAACTTTGAGGAGCAATATCTCATCAACGGATTAACGAAAAATGAAAATTTGAACGTAATAATAAATGAAAAAAATAGTTTTATTCAATTATGAAATTTTTAGTATAGGTTATCATTTGAAAATCAAAAGTTGATAGTGGTTTACCTATTAAATATAAGTGTGAAAAATATAAAAAAATATACAATTCTAGAACAGCATAAATCTACAATTTTGAAAAAAAAAAATTTGAAAAAAGTCAATACTTTTTCAAATAATGAGTGTTGTTTGATAAAAGAATCACCCTGTATAATATAAACAAAGTAGGACCCAAAACACTCCCTTGAGGTACTCCACAAGTAATTAACATTTCATCCCCTAAAATGCCATTGATTTTTACTTTTTGTTTTCTTTTGTCTAGATAACTCTTGAACCATTTCAGTTCTTATCTAGCACTCGTTGCGAGAGGTTGTTTGTTCGTAGTGCGTTAAAATCGTTTATCGTATTTTTGCCATTGTTATCTTTATTACTTTTATATCGTACAATGCCTTGCAGTAAGTGTTATACTAATATTTCCCCGGCTAAATCGGTGATCTGTACAAACTGTTGTTCAACTTTCCATCCAAACTGTACAAAACTTAAAACATTTACAAACTATAAGGCTGTCAAAGAAAGTTAGATTTGCGATCCATGTAATGAAAAAATGAAAAAAAATGCATCACGTAAGAATTTAGAAAACGAATTTCAAAAGGACGACTGCGACGACATGTATGACCTTATCTCGGTTAAAACAGACTTGAAGTTAGTGATCAAAAGAATTGAATCTCTCTCAGAAAATATGAAGACTTTCGAAAAATCAATAACTTTCTGTTCTGATTCAATTGATGAATTTGGGTCTAAATTAGAAAGTGTTATAAACAAAATCTCTGAAATGGAAAATAAAGTGCAAACTTATGAATTACGTTGTAATAAATTGGAAAAAGAATTAAATATTCTAAAAGCGACAGTTAATAGTACTGAACAATTGACCTTAGCCAATAATATAGAAATAAGTGGAATTCCTAAAACACCTAATGAAAATATTTCTGAAATAGTTAATACTGTAGCTCGAGTGTTGAACTGTCAGTTAAATAAAGACGACGTTATTGATTCTTTTAGGAATAAATCTCGTCAAAATAATTACGGAAGAATAGTAGTACAATTCAACTCAAAAGCAGTTAAAGATTCACTCATAAATAGCATGAAGTCTCGCTACAAAGATAAAAATCCACTTATGACAAAAGATATCCACTCAAATTTTAGTAATTCTAAGGTATTTATTAACGACCAACTTACACAAAATAACAAAAAACTATTATGGCTGGCTAAAGAAGTCGGAAAATACTACAATCACAGATACACATGGGCCAACATGTCAGGAGTATTCGTTAGAAAAGTAGAAGGAGGACAAATTTTCAAAATTCAAAATTTAGAAGTATTACAAAAAATGGACGCGGAAAAAAATATTACGTCGTTATGGGACTACTAGATAATTACAAGTAAACACTAAACAACATTTTTTTTTTATTTATCGTAATTTGTATAGTATGAATAATTTTCAAAATTTATATTTTAATTTTTTAAATGTTAATAGTAATTTAAAATATAGTACGCAGATTATAAATAACTTAAATAATATTGTCAAAAATAATAATGATTGTTTAGTCCTAAGCATGAATATTCGAAGTATTCATAAACATTTTAATGAACTTACTATTTTTTTAAATACCTCAGAAATTATGTTTGATATAATCTGTTTGTTTGAAACGTGGTTGGAAAAAGATACTTTCGTTTTTCACATTGATGGTTTTCCAAGTTATAATTATTATAAAAAATTAAATAAATCTGATGGTATTACAGTATTTATTAGAAACTCATTTAAAATTAATTCGGTCAATTTAGGGTTGATCAGTTATTGTAGCTCTTTGAATATCAACATTTCAAATAATGATTATGTTTTAAATTTAATTTGTGTGTATCGATCTCCAAGTTTATTACCAGAACATTTTATAGATAGTTTAGAAATTTTTTTGGATAATATAGATTATACCAAATCTTACATATTCTGTGGTGATATAAATATTGATTTAAATAAAATAGATGTAAATACTGTAAGGTAAAAAAATATGTTAAGTTATTATGGTTTTAAATCTTATAAATGGATCCTCATCTTGTATTGATCATATTTTTCTAAAACACGCAAATGTCTTTGATAATGTTATGGGATATGTGTGTCAAAATAGCATAACTGACCATTATAGTACTATGCTATCTTTTAACAAAATTGGTTTAGTTAAACTAAAAAGTAACATTTCTTATGAGAAAAATATTGATTATATTCTTTTTGACAAACTTATAAACATCCTTAACCAAGAAGATTGGGTTAATGTGTTGAATTCAACAAATGTAGACACAGCAATCGAACTATTTTTTTCTAAAATAAAAAGTTCGATAGAAACTTATAAGGTAACAAAACGTATGCGTGTATCTAAATCTAAAACTAATATTAAGAAATGGATTACTTCCGGTATTGTAATATCAATAAGACGTAGGGATAAATTATTTAATAAATTGAAAAAACAACCTTACAATTCAAGTCTAAAAAATAAATATAGAAAATATAGAAACCTATTAACAAAAGTAATAAAATGTGCCAGAGACATGTACTTTTCTAAGCATATAATTAATTCAAAAGGAGATCCTAAAAAAGTTTGGGATTTAATTAATGAAGCAATGTACAATAAAACAAAGAATAACAATAAAATAAATATTTCATCAATTTTAGATTCTAAAAACAAAATATTAACAGATAGCACTGATATTGCAAATGAATTTAATACATTTTTTACTACAGTTGGTGAGAATATTGCTCACCAAATTAAAATCCATAACCCTATTAAAAAGGATAAACCCAATATTAAAATCAACTCTAATTCGATTTTCCTTAATTATATAACTAAAGAAGAGATTAAAAGCCATATCCTAAGCTCCAAAGAAAGTACCTCTTTTTATACTTGTAATTTATCAAATCATATATTAAAACAAATAATCGACTATATACTAGTTCCATTAGTACATATTTTTAATTTATCTCTATCAACGGGAATCATCCCAAATTTATTCAAACATACATTAAGTATACCCCTTTATAAAAATGGTGAAAAACAAAATTGTTCTAACTACCGTCCAATATCCTTAACGTATACTTTATCAAAAGTTCTAGAGAAATGCTTAAAAACACGTTTGTATAATTTTCTTGAAAAATCAAATATTTTTTCAGAAAACCAATTTGGTTTTAGACAGAATAAAGGTACTTCAATTGCTCTACAGACTCTTGTCAGTTGTATACATAAGAAATTAGATAAGGGTAACTCTACTATTGGGATTTTTCTAGATGTCAAAAAAGCATTTGATTCTGTGGATCATAAAATATTGTTAAATAACTAGATAAATATGGTATCCGAGGGGTAGCAAATAACTTGGTAAAAAGTTTCTTAGAAAATCGTAGACAACAAGTTCGTATAAATGATGTGCTTAGTTCCTTAAACCCTTTAAATTATGGTGTCCCACAAGGTACAGTCTTAGGACCATTACTATTTATTGTATATATTAATGACTTACTAAATTTGGATACCAAATGCTCTATTTACTGTTTTGCGGATGACTCAACAATTTTAATTCATGACATAAACAATATTAATTTAATGCGCAAAGCCTCAATTATTATGACATCTGTAAAAAATTGGTTTAATGCAAATTCTTAAGAAATTAATTTTAATAAAACATGTTATATATCTTTTTCAATATCAAAAATTAGAAGTCTTGATATTAATGAACCCATTAAAATTCATGATGATTTTATATGTCAAGATACATATTTTACGGGTACTTGTAACTGCACATATACAAGAGGTGCAGAATCTGTAAAGTATCTTGGTGTCATCATTGGCAGATTTTTAAAATGGAATTTACATATCGACTTAACTATTAAAAAATTAAGAAGTATGTTTAGTAAGTTTAAAACGTTAAACACTATTTTATCACCTAGAAATATGAAAATGGTTTTCTGTGCCATCGCACAGTCAGTTTATTCTTACGGAATTAGTGTGTGAGGTGGTACCTTCGATAAATACCTAAATTTGCTAAGAACTACGATAAACTCATTATTAAGGATAGCTTTTAAGAAACCATTACGTTCTAATACTGATATATTATTTAATACTCATGGCATTCGTAACCTAAAGAAATCTCATGCTAAAGAATTACTAACAAATTTATATTTCTATAACCTTGATAGCGTCAGTTTCAACCACAATTATTCTACACGTAATACATTAAACAATAATTTTAAAATAAATAAATATAATACCGAATTTGGTAAAAGAGATCCATTCAATATAGGTATGCATTTATGCATGCAATATGATATTCCTATTAAACTTTTTAATAACTATGATCAATATAAAAAATACATTAAGTACAAGATAAAAATTTGTTTGTAAATACCTACATAGTATATATAAATTATTACATTATATTTCAACAATTTCCAGTTTTATCTATTATTTTATATTATTGAGTATTATTATATTCATTACTATTAAGTTATTTGATAATAAGGATGAACCAATGTAATTATTCTTATTTGTATAATATTACCTCTCAAATAAGAACTGTTGTCTCCTCCACAAGCCTAGGCTTTTGGAGACAATCATTTATAATTTATCATTTGTGTAATTTAATTAAATTTTATATTTTCGGTTGTATAATATTCTTTAAATTTTATTTGTATATTTCTTTAAATGCAATAAATTATTATTATTATTATCATTATTATTTAAAACTTTATTTTTTTATACCAAAATTAGGAAGTAAATTGATAAGTTCAGCATGATCCACCGTGTCAAAAGCTTTAGAAAAGCTTCAGAAAAATTCCTGTTGCTTTTTTACTGTTATCAAGTGCATTATATATAAATGATGTAGCATTATATAACGCATTTTCAGTACCTAATTTAGGTCTGAAACCGAACTGGTTTTTAGACAGAATATTGTTTTTTTCTAAAAATTGTATTAACCTACTTTTTATTACCTTTTCAAGTATTTTGGCGAAATTACTGATCATTGAGATAGGTCTATAGTTACTAATACTTGTTCGATCACCATTTTTATATAATGGTTTTATAATGGCTAGTTTAAATATATCTGGAAATGTACCTTCCGATATGCTTAAGTTATAAATATGGGTTAATGGTACTGAGATATTTTGTGCTATGAGTTTTAGTGTTTTAACTGATATTCCATCATGTCCAGCTGCTGTCTTATCTTTTAAATTGTTGATAATTAATAAAACTTCGTCGACACTGACTTTTTCATTAAAAATTGTATCAAAAGATTCAGTTGTATTTGGTTCATCATAATGAAAGTTTGATTTCTTTATCAAGCCTCCAAGGTTACTCCCAATGGTTGTAAAATACTTATTAAAAATATTGGAAACCCTAATTGGGTTTAAAGATGAATTGATATTTTCATTACCAAAAAATATTGAATGTATTTCCTCATCATTTTTAATTTTGCAATTTGTATTAGCTACATCATTAATCAGTTTAAATGTTAATTTTGGGCTATATGAAACCTCTTTGAATTTATTTATGTAATGATTGTTTTTAGCTAATCTTAAAATTTTTGAAAATTTATTTTTATAAAGTATGTAGTGTGCACGTAGTTTGTGATTACTTGGGTGTTTATGAACTTTTAAGGATAGTTTTTGTTTATTACGTAGAGAGCAAAGCAAGCCAGGTGTCATCCATTCTTTTAGACATTTGTTTTTTGAATTGGCAGTTTTAGTTATTGAGGTCATACTTATAGCACTATCAACCTTATTAATAAAAACATTGTAGCATTCATTAACATTGTTATTAATATACACTTTATTCCAATTGTATTTTTTTAATATTTCATTCAGATCGCAGTAATTTATTGTCTTATAGGTATACGTTTTTTACTTTTTTGTTGATTCTGGTTATGTATTTGAATACCTATAACTGTTGAGAAGTGGTCCGTAATACTAGTTTGAATCACACCAGCCTCAATTTTACCGTTAACGTTAATGTTTTTATTACTTTTGACAAAAATATGGTCTAAACAAGAATGTTTGCTACCTAGCGGTGTTCTAGTAAACACATTAATAAATGATTCGTATCCATATTGTGATATCTTATCAAGATATTCGTTATTAGTGAAATTCGGACCCACAATGTTTATATTCATATCACCTATTATAATTTGATAGCCTTTATTATTTATTTCGTCTTTTAGAATGTTATCTAAGATGGGCAAAAATTCATTGATGTCACTTGAGGGGGACCTGTATACACATAAAATGGTAAATGGAGTATTATTTATTACAAAATTTAGTTTCATAAGATTAGCCACTGTATGTTTGTATTCAACTAATTCTATACGTAATTGTGTTCTGGTAAATACAATTAT